CACCCAAGGGCAGAAGGATTTAATCGCCGTCAGGTCCGAAGTCCATACGCCGCCTCAGCTCTGCGGATGTCTCGGGGGTATGGCAAAGTTGAATCGTACTTTTTTAATTTTTTTTGGTGGGTTCGAGTCCCATCTTATCCACATCACATAAGCTTTTTCTTTTTTTTCTTTTTTTCCTTTCCATTTTTCATTAAATTAATTTTCAACAAAAGGCAATCTTTTTTAATGAAAAAAGATTCTGCACTTAGATCTCTATATCATATGCCAACAAAGGACTAGTGGGTGGTGCGGTGAAGACTTCTGGGTACTATTGCGCAATATTTTGCATTTTGTGACAAGGAAAATAAACAGTTACCCAAGTAAATATAATAATAAGGGATGGTAAAACGATAAGAAAATTAATTGGTGACAATGACAGAGGGATATCTTCTTCAGCTGTACTAGGCCCAGGGGCGTATCCTGCCGGAGAGGGGTGCAGGGGGTGCGCATCCCTCCCTGGGTTAACATTGTGCGCAGCATCCCTCCCTGAACAAAATCCTGGATCCGCCCCTGAGGCCTCTGTGCATAATACAGGCAACCCCGTGAACGCCTATACACCGTTCTCATAATGGCTGAAAAGGGCACGAAAACGAGGTCACCCAGTCATTAGTTCACAATACAAGATATAAAAGTACATTAAATRAGTTTATAATGGAAAGGTATAGAAATTTAACTCTTGTTTTGACCTGTATTCGCGCTATCCACCTTTATTCAGAATGAGCAGCCTTGCAAGATGACTGGGTGACCTCGTTTTTGTGCGCTCGTCAGCCATTATGAGAAGGGTGTATAGAACGTACTTCTCCAAGTTCAAAAAAAAAAAAAAAAAAAAAGAGCAATTGCAGTTTATATATAAAGACGCCAAACAACATTGACACTAAAGCTCACTAGATATTTTATGAGTTCAGTCAAACCAGTAACTGAAAGAAGTTCATATTTATAGCGGTGTCATCCTTTGAAACAAAAATAGAATCGGAGGGGGGAAATGTTTGCATTCGTATTTTCCAGGACAAATTAGAAAATTTTTCGTCTCATATTGATGAAAATTAATTTTTGGCCAAAATTGTTCAAAATTCAAAATTCGAAGTGAAAGGATGACGATCAAATTAACCCAAGCGTTTGAATTTTGAAACGTGTCGCCAAGCTGAAATTACGCTGCGAATGACGAGCTTTGGGATTGGTTATAATCTTCACAGGAAACGTAAATAAGAACTATCGAAAGAGAATATAACAAAGAAAAAAACAGGTACAATCCAGTTTGTTTAGAAAACTTTCTAAATTCCACCCGAAGTAGTTACAAGTTTATATCTTAAAATACGGWCTTTCTCAGCCAATCAGACGAGAGATGGAATTTCAAGCCGTTCAAAATCGGCGGTTTTTGAAAATATTGACCTTTATGAAGCAGGTTGTTGTTTAAATCATTGTGTAATGTTTTATAACGCTAAGACGTCAATYATTTATGAAAGATATAGAATAAAGGAACAACTAAGTGAGGTTCATTCTTCAATACTGAGTTCACCAGTGTAAGGTAAGTAGTCCTATTCATGGCTTCAACTTCCTGCAATTTTTTTTCCACTAAATGAAATATCSAATAACTTCCCTCACTTTTATATTAGATTTTCACTCATATTTTTCCATAATTTGACCGAAAAGTTTAGTTTTACAAAAGAATGAGTTTAAAATATCAAAGTCTAAAAGATTCAGTTCTAAAAACTGCAGAATTCTTAATCTTCAAAAAAAAGTTATAAAATCTAGTAAAACTATTCCACTGATACTGATTTAACATAATGAACAGTTCAGTTCTTTTAGAAGGCGGTTAGTTTCAAAGCGTAAAAAAGTTTCAAACCATTTTCGTCTATTTTTTTTTAATAAATTCTTACAATTACATTATACRAATACTAGGATACTTTTTTCGCTCCTCTCTCTTGATATTTAACTGAATTTTTTGTCAAGTTTTCTKGTTTTTTTTCTTGGTATTTGAAATTCACTCCAGCACCATTTTTTCTTAGTCCTGTATTTATTATTTTCTATTTCTTATAGCTATAGATAAATTTATTCAATTTTACTTTATTTTTTTGATTTCAGGGGTTCTAATCAATAATATAAAATGAAGTACTTTCTATTACTCTGCCTTATTCTTGGCCTAACAGCCTACACAGTCAAAGCTGATGAAGAAAGTAAGTGGTGAAGAAAATTTTAAAGTCGTTTAATATTATCTTTTATGCAGAAAGATAATATCGATGTAACTTTTTTTAGTTTTTTCAAAGTATTTTTGACATAAAGTAAGTCTAAATTCTTTAAACAACRGGTGTAGTAATTATTTCTCGTTAGAACGTACGTGTTGTGGTGGAATGTAAAATATYGATATCAAATATTCATTTCATTTTATCATCAATTGTTAAAAAAAAAAAATTTCATTCTGGTTTCGTAGCTCCGAAGAATAAGATAAATGATAAGTTTTTGAAGAAATGAAGAAAAAAAGAAGTGAAAATTTGAAAGAAAGGAAACAAAATTCGGTCGTGCGAAAGAAAACTAAACGTCACTTTRTAGTATCGAACTATCCAACTGAATRAAACATTATCATTCGTTCATCAATAACTGTTTTAAAGTTGAAAAACATTACCAACAAGAATGAKAACGGTTATATTTAACTACTAGAGCAACAAAGTTCATTCAAATAATTGGCTGGTTACGGTAAAGATCAATCCAAAAGAATGGCTGGTATGTTTTGACATTTCAACTGATCTATCTAGGAATTGTTTTCAAACGTGGCTTATTACCTGTTTAACATTGATACGAAATGGGCTACTTCCACGACGCGGCGGCCATCTTGAATCAGAAGGCATTATGGGTAATCCAGGAGGCAAATAAATATACGAAGCTTGGTTACAATAATAGCGTTGATTGACATTCAGTTTTACAAAAGACAATTTCACAAGAGATCAATTAAAATAAATGAACGGTTCCACGATTAAGGAAATTTTTCAAATATCGTGGGGCCGTCATTTTCAGCTTCTTCGTTTTGTTTTGCCCCCTGGGCGACCGATAATGCCTTCCGATTCAAGATGGCCGCCGCATTGTAGTCGTCCATTAGGCTCACGTCTTAAAATCCTYTATCATTTAGCACGGCAGAAATGCGTTTCTGTTTTAGATCTGTAGTCAGCGATGCCATATATAATTTTCGTTTCCGACCTACTGATTAGGGTAGCGTTAGAGCAGCACCTAATGCTTCTGAGGTTCCGGGTTTGATTCCAAGACTCGGCATCACATGTGATTAGAGTTTGTTAGGTCTCTCCCTTGATTCAAGGGTTTTTCTTTTGGTTCTATGATTTTCTGCCGCCTCCATAAAACCTAACACGCTAGATTCCAATTCGACCTGTGAGTAAGGCTCAGGTTTAACGTCGAACTTCACATGAGCCGAACCTAATGACTTCAAAGMAGACCGCCTTGCTATCCATCGCTTTAATTAGGTTYGTCTCTTGTGAGATTCAACGTGATAATCAAGTGATAATTGACAATCTTACATCATTTTTCGCCATAGAAAAACCAGAAGATAACGACGTTGAAGAGGCTGACACAGGTGATTTTGATGATGACATAGCATCAGATGATGCTGAAGACAGCAGTGATGAAGAGGATTCTGGAGATGGCAGCGAGGGTGATGATGAATCTGATGAGGAGGAATCAGGTGATGGAGACGAAGGAGACAGCGATGATGAAGATGATGCTGAAGATGAAGAAGATTCTGACGATGGTGATGATGCTGAAGATTCTGACGATGGTGAAGGTTCTGCCAAGGATGACGCCGAGACAGAGAGCAGTGGCGCTGCAGACAAGGAAGAAGAGAAGAAGGAGAAAGATGATGAGAAGGAAATTGACAAAGATGACAAGGATGATGAGAAAGATGATGATGATGAAGATGATGACAAACCCAAGGCCGAGGAGAAGACCAAAGAAAAGGGGAAGAAAACTGAAGACAAACCCCAGCCAGCCAAGAAAGACTAAGTTTACTAGAGCTTAGCACCAACTGTTTTATGGTTATTCTACTACAGTAACTAGAAAAACACAGGATTTGCACTAGCAAAATCTTTTCAACAAATTATGAGAATAATTTTCACAGGTGATTTGCACCTTAAACTACCCTTTTTGTTTTAAGTTATTTTCCCCTAATGTGTCTGTAACACATACTATGTATTATTTGACCTTCATAAGGTAACACCTAATCCTAAGTAGGCTATATCTTTCCTTTTGGGTTTGGAATAAATATTTATTTTCCTTACAGCATTTTACTTTTGTTATGCATTTAATCATAAGGAA